AAAATAACACTTACAACTCAATTTTTTTTTCATTTTATTTTATTTACTATAAAAAAAGGTATTTGTGTTCAATTACAGATTAAATAAAACAATGCATTTGTATATATATTTGTATATATTTATTATTTTATATATATATTATTTTTTATTTTAAAGTCGATAACTCTGATAAAAGATTATATCGGCTCATTCGGTATATTACCGTTCGGATTACACAGTTACTAGAGGCACGCTAACGTGCCGCGATTCGAAATGTTAAAGGCAACTTTAAGTTTGAATACCTTCAGAACGGCTCACTCTTTGAAAAAATATATTGAAACTTTTTTGTAGAGCGTTCAATTTCCTTCCAAAATAATTTTTCAGTTCGTTTTTACATTTAAATGCTATTACTGAAAGCAGCGTTTATAGATAAATAATTTTTATAAAAATGACTTTTTTTATATTTATTAAAACAATTTCTGAGTGATTGAAGCTAAAGTAAGTATATAAATATAAACAATTCCTTTTTTTGAAAATAAGACATGATTAATTTTTTCCAGATCAACCACTTCGTAAAACAAACAGAACAATAAAAGCAAATCTATGGTGACATTAAATCGTCTGAATAGAAAGAACGCGTCGGCTGTAATAGAGCGCAGGCAACTCGGATAGTGACAAAAACTAAATAATTATCCCTCCGAAAGCGTCGCAAGCCGTCGGGACGCCCCACTTTTCTTCCGGCAATAACATAAATAACGACGGTTGTCCGGGAGAGCACGCATTAATAAACATGAGCCGATTCTTTCCTTCCACTGTATGGCGGAGAAGAGACAAACATGTGAGGTTATGTCGGTCCATTGCGATTTTATTCAGTCACGCTTATTTATATGTCAAATCGATAGGGGTTCGGAAAAGTCCACAAGTCTTAATATAGAGAAAAATAATAGAAAAAAAAGATTTTATAATAAAAATAAAAACCACAGACCATCTCTTTATAAAGGATTCCTTTTTTAAATTCAAATGTCCAGAAAGCAAGTCTTCCGAAAAATAATATAAAGGCACAAAAGTCTTTATCCAGCGAAGAACTTTCAGTTTCATCGATTTTTTACACTTCACTTGTCCTTTGACGATACGACGATTTTTATCATAATCATTCCGCAAGGACGTCTTGTAACAGGACTCCTGTTATCCTTGGATATTTAGAAAAGTTCATGTCAAAAAAATGATTTCTTGGCAAATAAATGTTGACGAAAAAAAAAATTATATTTTTTACAAAAGTTGGTAACAATAATACTATTTAAAAAAATACATGACATCTTTGAATTTTTAAATAAAGTTCATTTTTTTATCTGTTTTTTTGTTAGGTTGGTGGCTTATGCCAGTTTGACTTAATATTTAAAAATGGTACTTCAGCCATAGATGACTTCAGCTAAAGAATTTAATTAGGTAAATACTGTTAAATTAAAAATAATATTTATTATTGATAATTTACTTGTCAATTATAAATAAAAAGATAATTATGCCAAAAATAATAGCAACGAATTCGAATGTAAAAGCCCTTTTGCGGGCAAAACTTCATTTTGATGAAATTATGCCAAATGCCACAATGGAAGAAAAAGTACATCGCCTTATGGACATTTTTGGAGAAAAAAAGTAACGAATTTGGTTTTATAAATATTACATCAGACATTATTTTCACATTATTCACCATTGGACAACATTTACGGCCACAAAAAATTTTAATTTCATTTATAAAAATTCTTTTCTAAAGCGAAGATTATTATCCGCTAGGAATACTTTCTCTTCTGGGCCGTAAAGCAACCTATATTTAACTACTTTTTTATATGATTTTACTCATCCAAGCACCACCACAGCCAAATTAATTGCATTTTTAACTACGAATTTCGACAACTCAACTTGACAACTGCACAATGTAACCTACAATAATTTATACATAACCACAATTAGATTTATAACTAGCTTAGTTTGTTTTAATCAATGCGACCAACTTGACAACTGTATTTACCAACCAAAACCCTAAATTTGCAATGTTGCCGCAGTCCAGATAAAAAAATAAACTTTAGTATTTTTTTAAATAGTATTATTGTTACCAACTTTTGTAAAAAATATAATTTGTTTTCGTTAAAATTTCCATGCTAAGAGATAATTTTTTTGACAATTTGTAAAATTTTGTTTTAAAAATAATTTTTATTAGCGCGGTTCAAACAAAAAATAATCTCTTGGTGCAATTTACACGGACAATATATGAAAACGCGAATCCCAGCAAATCCCCAACAATTTCAATGGGTATTGTGAATAAAGTAAAATTTTAAAAATCGATATAAATATATCGGCATGCTGTACGAGTGCAGGAATAATCTGAAAGCTTTGACTAAAAGTTAACACATGAATAGGCCATTTGTTATTAAAACATATATGTAGTACGCGGTAAATTTTTAATAACGATTCAAGTGGCCGATTTGTTTTAATGATTCAAATTAGTTATCGAAAATAAATTAATTAACTTATGTATTTCGATGATGCAGTGTTTTATTAAATTTATTAACTCGTAGGGTGCTTTTATTTTTATTTGAATGAATTTATTTAATTACGTTGAAATGTTGTTTTTGACTCACAATTTAGTTTTTTTAATTTATAAATAAAATAAATAAAACGAACAAAAATGTTGATTTTTTAGTCCATTTTAGTGGGATATATACAGTGTGTTTCATATTGATTGCCGACAATTCGGTATTTATTTAAAAATAATTCGATTTAAAAGAAATTGTTTTTAATTTGTAGTAGGTACTAAAAATAAATACATATTTTAAAGAAAAAACATTGTCATTTGTTGAACGTCAAAAGATATAAGATATTTTTTAAATTTAAAAACTGAATTTGGCATAGGTACCCAAAAACCCCTAAAACGATAATTTTGTAATAAAATTTCAAACAGGATGGTCAAAAAGCAAGGTCAAACTTGAACAAAAATCAATTTTTTTAAGCACTCTGTATAAATTCTAGCAAAACAAATTTTTTTTCTTCAAACCCATTTTTTTAATCGGTCTATTTTAAAAATAAATACCGAATTTTCTCCAATCAAAATGAAATACATTGTATATGAAATATAGAGAAAATCAACATTCAACTAAACTGCGCCTCAAAATTAACGCATAACAAATAAAAAAAATCCAACTCTTAAACGCCTTTAGCAGTATTTATAAAATTTTGGATAAAAATACTGGAATAGAAAATATCCTTAAAGCCCTTTTATTTAATAATAAAAAACGCTCGAAAAAAAACTTTTATAGGAAATTTATTTTAAGTAAATAAAAAATATGTTTTGAAATACCTCATTTTTTTAGTATATCCTGAAAATTTTGTACAAATCAAACAAACAGTAACGAAAATACAAGTCGTCAAAAATGACCATTTTTCAGCGAAATAATCAAAAAGGGGTAATTTTTACCGACTTTGAAGCGCTGTATCTTTGTTACTGTTCGTTTGATTTGTACAAATTTTTTAAGATATAGGTACCTACTAACAAAAATACAGTCTTTAACACCATATTTTTAGTTTACGTTTAAGTTATTTTTTGTTATTTAATTAAAGGGCTTTAAAAATATTTTTTTGAAAAACCCTCGAACACGTAAACTGAGATATAAGTTGAAGTATTTTTATACAAAATTTCATAAAGATTGGTAAAGGCGTTTTAGAATTTTTTTACTTATTATGCGTTAATTTTGACGGGCAGTGTATGAGTTTGTCGTTAATAAATTCTGAAATATATTTAATTTTTGCTAACAAATATTAATTTTTATTAAATATATTTTTTTATTGAAAATAAATATAGGGTAAAGGGGGGTGAGATGGCCACCGTTTTGCAAAATATGTGCCTGTAAGTTTTTTATAATGGTTAGGATTATGACATATTTTTTTTTGCAACAGCTTAACTATCATCTCAACAGGTATGTAAATAAATAGGGTCAAAATGCTTTTAAAATTTTTGTTTTATTATTTATAAAAATATGTCGTACGTGGCCATCTATCCCTGTTCAGTGGGGTTAGTTGGCCAATGCCATAAGGGAAACCCCAACATGCTGTCAGGTCCCATTTTACCAGTCGTGGAAACATTATTCTTCACTTTTCTTTCAAGGGTCTTCCTAGGGATGCCATACGTTTTTGAGGTTCCGTTTACAGAAGAACCGTTTCTAACAGCTTCAATTGCTAGCGTTAAATTTTCTTGAGTATAGTTTCCACGATTTAAATTCTTTCTGATATATTTTGTTGGCATTTTTTTGTATTAAAGCCGAAAGGACGCTAAACTGTAAAGAAATAGAAGCAAAAATTAAATGGCCACCTATCCCAACAATTTGGTGGCCATCTCTTCCGAATGCTAGGGAGAGATGGCCAGCGTGACAAACAAAATCCACTGCATCCTTTTAATAGTTTTTAGAGGTTAAAACAATCGAATGAACATCGTACTCACCTAATATGTTAAAATCACCGGTAAATTTAATTCTACACATTCACAGTAGTAGGTAGTAAGAAACTATCATATAATTTCACAAGGACTCGATAGTATTTTTATTTTCTGAGTGCTTTAATGTCACTTTGACGTGGTCGAAATCACACCGGCCGTGCTTAGACATAAACGTTTGTCGCCGGGGAGGACACGCAGCGCCATCGATCGACAAGTTATTGAGTTTTAGCTCTTGGTCATCTCTCCCGGCTGGCCATCTCACCCCACTTTACCCTACAGTGTCACAAATAAAGGTACTCTTGTACCAAATTCATATTTTTTGTCAAACCTCGTATACCTATGATATCTGATGATTTTATTTTATATTATATGAATATATAATATATAAAAAAATATATAAAATTTATTAAAAATTAAATATATGTATTTGCAAAATAAATATGTGTTTTGCATTAATTAATAAATATTTAACAAAGTTAACCTATGAGGAAAATCATGAAATATCTTATAGAAAATTTTCATGTCCCATTACCTTTACCTTTGTGTGCCATATCGTCTATCGACGAAATCGCGGACGGCCATGGCGCCACCGCCCCCAGTTGCTGTGCCGGTAGAATGATGATGATTTTTTGTTATTACGAAAACACTAAAATCTGCAAAAAAAAATTAAGTAAAATTAAAAAATTTGTTTTAACTGATACTTAAGTAAGTAAATTAAATTTAGGTAATATGAAAAAAATTTACTGCCAAAATTATAACTGCAATTTTAATTCGTTCTTATAGTAGTTTTATAAACATTTTAAAATATTTGAAGGTGTGTCACAAGGTTTCTAATTAAGCCCAATAATTATACAGATTTAAAAAATTATTGGAACACACTACTTGGTCTTTTTTAATTGAATAATACAAGATAAAAACGTTAATTTGTTAAAAAAAAAAATTCGCTGCCGACAGGATTCGAACCTGTGCGGGCAGAGCCCAATGGATTTCAAGTCCATCTCCTTAACCGCTCGGACACAGCAGCTTATGATAGATTTGGCAAATTCGACAGACTGCTGCTACCGACTTAATAGTGCTTCTAAATAAATTATTATTATTATAATTATGTAGGTAGTTGGGTATTTATTTATACAAGCTGATTCAATAATAGTGTGAAAAAACTTCAAAGTGTTGCAATTTTAATTGCTGCCTTTCAAAAAAGTTATTAAAATAAATAAAAAAAATATTTTTCTTCTGAATTTCGTACCTAACTTGACATTTTTCTTTTGGGTAGGTATCATCTAAATTATTTGTTGCAGTCTAAAAACACTTTAAAATAATTTTTTTTTTTTGTATCGTTTAACCCTATCTAAATGGAATCTTTTTACATATTTTCTTACCTTATTCGTAAAGCCTTTCTTACAAAAATATATCTGTTACCTAGGTAGGTATATTGTTGTTTGTGTATTAATTAGCGAGTTATGTTTTTTTATTATTTAATTTAAACAACCGGATATTTTTAATGATTTTAATGACACCCAAGTAAAAAAGCCAACCTGGGAACTAGGACAACCTAGTAGGTAGATTTTTTTGAAAATTACAAAATTTATAAATTGACTGTTTTTTTTTGTTTCCGTCGGAATGTGATGATCCGGTTTTCGATTTTCCGTTTTTAGATTGTCACTGGCTGAATTGATAATTGTATATATGTATATGTATACCTATGCAACTTGTTTTATAAACGCCATTTTAGTTACGAGTATTATTAGACGAGCGAGTGTTTAATAAAAACGAGTGTCTAGAGAATTTTATAAAACGACTTGCATACTATAGGTAGGTACTTTATCTACGACGAACACAAAGAAGAATTTAAAGCCAATTTTATTTGTTTAACATTTGACATCTGTCAACTTTTAACGGATTTCACTATTTCCTAATTTATAATAAAGCCAACTTCAGCCCGTGACTAAAAGGCCCAAAAGCCAGTATTGCTAACTTCAGCCCGTGACTAAAAGGCCATAAAGTCACAGCTCGTCAATGTAGGAGTAGATAACGCTCTATTTTCTGTAATCAGTTTTTTGTAATAAAAAGATCCCATAAAAGGAAAATATTACCTTCCTAATTAAGAATAAAATTGTAAGCTTAAGACATTTTTAATTAACCTACCTACCTAGTTATTAAATTTAAAAAAAATACTTATTCACCAATCTAAATAAAAATATTTAAATGATACAGTCGTATACGACTATAGAAAAATGTTATTTTATTATCTAAAGAGATTCAATTTTTTATAATAGGTATTAATTTTCTTTCTATTAGTTTAATTAAATAAGAGTTAAAACTTACATGCCCCAAAAAGTTTGCACTGCACAAAACAAAAGAAGTCCTATGACACCATACCAGTCAAATAAAAAACCTTAATTAAGCCAAATTCACACGACCGTCGCTTAAAACGCGCACTAAAAAACGAAATAAAAAAAATTAAACTGTTCAGTGGGTGCTCGAATAAAATAACACTGGTGGAAGTGGAATTATTCAAAGGCAATTAACCAATATCTAATACTTGATTGGAGAAGTAATACGAATTCAGTGATTTTCAAAGACGTGCTTAAACACACGCTCGCGACTGCCCTAGCCGATAGCTTTTGCAGCACGAAGGCAACTGATACTCGAAAATCTATCGCACGAGCAAAGCACTACACCTTTCAAGGTGTTCCCGAACATCGGAGCCGCTCTCCCCTCGCCAATAAAATCGCCGGGCTCCAAGATCCCGCCAATGGCGGCCCGCGCGGGGCGTGGCCTCGCATCGATCTCCGTGACGCAGATGCTCATTCGCGCGTGAGCGAATTTTCCCGCTAAGAGGGCGCCACCGGTTCCGAAGCTCACTGGCAGAGCTCTACCCTCTGACACTTGTGTGTTTATGTTTGGATTTTTTCAGGTTACGCTCGAGTGCGACCGATTTTCGGGCGATAGGTGTTTGTTTACGGTCCCAGCTCGATCGGAGAACGAGATAGGTAATTAGGAAATATCGGGTTTCTTTTTGGGGTTATGTAATCCAATTTTGGCGTCTGAAAAGGTCTAATTGAACGCATTACTGTTTTGCCAATCGAGTGAGATGATTTGATTGTACAATGTACATACATAGGTAAAATGTTTTTTACTACTAAACCATTCAATTTGATTGATCCAATGGAGTTCCACAAGGATCCTACACAAACCCATCTCAATTATTGATTATTCCTAACGATTGCTAGATAATAACATTAGCATTACCATTGTTTTTAGAGCTCCTCTAACCTCTGAATATTTTCATTATTATTACATTAAAATATTATTATAAATAAGTTCTTGAAGAGAACTATAGGTTTTACTATACCTAGTAGTGCACTGGGCTTCTTAAAGGTGGAAGTACCTATTTTTAGTGTTTAATACATTAGACAAGTATTATACTTGTCTAATGTATCAGTCTAATAATTATATCGACTTGGGTATAGTAATTAGCGTATCTACCTATACATAGAGGTACGTTGGTTATATTAAGCGCTAATAAGATACCAATATTCAGTTCAATGGGTGGAAACATTATTGAGGCATAAAGTAATTTGTTCTAATATATTATAATTACCCATACCTATTAATAATGTAGTACCTACCTAAACAAGTTTTGTTAAAGCAACAAAATATGTAAATAAATTTATAATAAAAAAAATTAAACTTTCAAAACAATATTGTGTTTTTTATTATACATCTAGGTACATTGTTCAAATATTCCAACATTAACATTTTTATCCATCTTTGAAAACAAATAATAGTCGATGGGGTTTAAGTCTAAATAAAGCGGTGGATTTTATGACGCTTTTCGTTTAATTTTGGCATCCATTCAACCAATTGGTTAACTTGGTAGATCGGAACCTCCATTCTCATTGGGAAATATTTCTGCTAATGTGGGAAGAAGAGAGTTTTTCGAAAATTCCAAATAAGTTTGTTCTGTCATACTCTCGTCACAGAAGAAACCTATGATCCGATTTTCTACCATTCCTGTCCAGACATTCACTTTTTAATGGTATTGGGAATTTGCCTCCGCTACCCAATGAGAATTTTCTTTGCTCTAGTACGTATGTATACATATTGTATACAATTTTGACCATTCGCTGTACCATTTAAACAGAAGATAGCTTCGTCTAAAAAAGGTATTACGAGGAAATTTTGCATTCAGTTTCTGCCCTGATAATATATTATAAAACTAATTTTGTAAGCGATTAATAAAAAAATATTATTTAACTTAAATTTAAAATTGTAATGGCTATAAAAAAAATGTACCACCTAAGGTTCCTTTTTTATTAAATTTTCAGTGTCTTATTGGGACAAAAACCTACGATTTGTCAAAGTAATGAGATTATTTTTATTTACAGAATAAACTTTTTTAACTGCTAATAAAATTCTCATTTAGTATAACGAAGCAGCAATGTTGAGCTTTTATAAAAAAAATGTTCATCCAACAAAGTAATAGTTGTTATCATATTGTCATGGAAATAAGAAATACTTTATGTTTATATTAAATCTTTGCCGAACTTACATAGCTTACATAAAGTAATGCGCAGTTGCTATACACACAACGAAAAACGTACGTAATATTAATAAAAAAAAACATTAACGCAATGATTTTTTACATTAATTTTGCTCCGATGCTCAAAATCATTACCACAATGCTTTTAAAGTATTACTCAATGTACAAGGACGTAATATTAATGCTTGGCGGACATTGATTTTAATCAGGAAGATCTCAAATAAAAGTACTGATATTAATGACCATTAACATGGATTAATGTCCTAGTACATTAATTCTATGCCCAGTAAACATCAACCAATTAATAAATTTTTAATCAATTAACAATTAAAGAACATTATCCCAATCACCTAATATACATTAATTAATGATCTGTTAGCATTATCATAATGCAAAGAAGCATTATTAGTAGGACTGAATTAAGGGATGGAAAAATATCGATAAATCGATATATCGATATTGGTATACCGGAATGGATCGATATATATATACAGGGTATCTCAAAAGTCAAGGACAGCAGAAAAGGGGTGGATAGAGGATGGAATTTTAAGTCGATTGAAAAACGGCAAAGACCATTCGACTTAGAATCCCATCCTCTATCCACCCCTTTTCTGCTGCCCTTGACTTTTGAGATACCCTGTATATATGTATATATATATATATTACCTTAAGTTTTAACATTAAATCAATTTTTTTGTTGATCAGTTAACAAAAAGAGCTAGAAATATGTAAAAAAATATATTATTAATTATTAATAATTATAATTATTACTATTAATATTACTTATGTGGTGATGTTCTCGTTAGCCAGTTCCCTTTACAGAAGTTCCCAAACATTTTCTACAGGGTTTATGTCCGGGTCACCGCAAAACTGGAACTGGAACTTTACATATTTCTAGTCCTTTTTGTAAATATTATGAAACTAAAGATTAATATAAAAAAATAATAAAAACCCTTGGTAATTTAAAATCCTTATATTTATTACAAAAAATTTATGAAACATAAATAAACCTTAACTTTTTAACATTGTCTTACTTACATTCTAAAAGTCACATAGATTTTGGAAACTGTATTAGAATGCTTCATTTTAAAAAAGTAGGTTTCAATAAATGACCAGACCATGACACATTCTTCTGGGAAATAAAGGTTAAAAATACTTGAACTTTTTTATATTTCATATAATAATAAACCTAAACGCACAACAATCGGGATGGGCGGGCAAGCACGTCGCAACAGGATTAACAGGAATACTAAACTGTTGTTAAATTGTTTTCTTACTTGCATTTTTAGGTGGTGGGAAACAACAGGGCCTAATATTAATGTATTTAGACATTGGCTCAACGTATTTGGCGATAAAGTTATGATTTGTTGTATTATTTAATGTTAGGGCATTATATTCATGCTAGGGTACATAAGTTGATGTCTATATAGGCATTAATGTAATAATTTTAGATTATTAAATTATACCATTTAGAGTATTAATCTATTAAGCCTTGACATTAATTTTATCACTGAGCAATGATTAACTAATGTACTCTAGGTTATTGATTTAATGTAAATAATCATCGTATTAATGTAAAATATCATTGTCATAATGTATTTTGGCTAAAAAATAATAAAATTCTTGCACTAGGATAATGACCAGGCAGACATTGTGACAATCCAATAATACATTAACTCATATTTTTTAAGCATTATCATAATTACTTGATTGCATTAATACTATGAAAAGGACATTATCGTAATGATTTTGCACTTAATGATCGTAGGACATTAATATCAGGTACGATATTTTTTTCTGTGTAGTAAAATTTGTTCATTTTTCTATAGCATATTTGTCTTTTTTAAATTACTATCGTTGTAATTGAAATTAATTTTATTTCAGTTAGAAAATCTTTGTTAATAGCTTACGTTAAGAACAATAACAAAAATATTTTATTGCTATAAACAGACTTTTATAATATTTACTATTGTTTTGCAACGGTAAAAAATTTTTTGTTATTTCCCTTAAAAAGAGGGGGAAAGGGCCAGCGCTTTCCTTCGTGAACATAACTTTATAATCCACAGTCTGTGTTATAATCTTGTTGATTTCACTTGTTGATTTCACTTGTGCGAGTGAAGTGTGGTAAAATAATGATAAAAATATCAAAAAGACCACTAAGAAAGTTAAAATTTCGGCGTTTTCTAAAAGAAATATTTAAGGTCTATTATGTAGGTATATAAACGAAGCAGAGTTGTTTAATAAGTGAGTTCATATTTTTTTTATTTTGTACATCATATAGTATAAGTTAATTTTTTTGTGATAATAAATAGTTTGTTTTAATGCCTAGCAATTATTTTAAAAAAACTACCCAACTGGGTGTTGGATACAGTAGGTTGAAAATGTGACCATTGTTACAATGAAAATAGTTTATTGAATTAACACTTAATTTCTTGTTAAATTTACATAAATTTTATTAATATTATAAAAAAAGTTTTATTTTTAACGAAAAGGACATTGGACAATTTTTAGATTTTTTTGCATGGGTCTCTTAAAAATGTAATTATTTCTAATTTCAAAGTTTCAGGAAATAGTGTTGACTTCTGAAAACGCAAAGAGATAAATATGTGCACTTTAAACCGTAAGATGGGTTGCTACGAATTTTTGAAAATTTTCGATCATCTGTCCAAAGTCACCTCACAAACGGGGAGATTCTGGACAGCGCATTTGGACACTATATTATAATATTTTTATATATAAAAATATTATAAATTTAGGTATTTTATTGAAAAAATCAGTGCAAAACTTATACAATACTAAATTGCGACAAATCAAAATTTAAGTAAATCTTGTTATGGAATCGAACTCCGTCAGTGGGTGGGAAGAACCAATACCACGTCTTTAAAATCCACCAAGGCTTCATCTTCGTCTGTTTCTTTAAATTTGTATGATGGAAACTGCCTTTTAAGGAATTTGACTGAATATCCTCGGTTTAATTTTTGCAACATTTTGCTAACGAAGTGCCGGGACGATGTTTGGACAATAGAGGAAGACTCTAGACAGTGTGTTCAAACTCTCCCT